TTTCATTGATCCGGATAATTGATGTAGTAAGACATTTTGAACCTTTCAGAACGATAACAAGCATAACGGTAATTTAGAATGAAAGAAACCAGGTTTTCACCACCAGTTAGTGGCTGAACATAATGAGTTAGATAATGAGACATTTATCGCGCTCGATGGCTCATGCACTAAGGAATGGACAGACAGCGAGTTTGTCTGGGTCTCAAAAGATTACGGTGGACTGAAAAAACCACATTCAAGCTAAACTGCTATAGACGCCCGATGTTTTAGTGTACAACAGATATTCTTTTTAGTGCTTTTTGCATTATTACGACGTGCTGTTTATTGTTTATTACTTTTAAGCGCAGTCGCTGATCCGGAAATTACAATCTGTGACAACGCTGTCTTGAAACCTCCAGCCATTTACAAGTCCTTCTGCTCCGTACTGTTTCAAACATTGATGAACCGTAAACTAACTTTTATTCTGTAGATTAGTATGACATGGTTTGCCTGTGATTCTCGGAAGTGCGACATGAAGTTTGTTTTGTGAAGCTACGTTGGAACTTTCTTGTCAGTTGAAGGCTGCCCGATAACCTTGTCAAGTAGATTATGACTGAAGGCAGAATTGTTCACATTCTGGAAGATGGCATGGATTTGTCCTGCTTTTACAGGTATTTCCGGCTGCAGCTCGTCAGCGTTGTTTTCTAGCAGAGGTGCTGAAAGGGTGGGATCCGTTGAGCTTGGTCAGCAAACGCCATTAACAAACCTACATCAGTTGCTGTGGTGCCGATAAATACGTCGACGTCATCTTCTACTTTAGCTTGAGATGAAGATGCTGTTCTACATGATAAACATGTTGGTGCCCTGTTTCCTCATGTCGCTCGTATTTTATCTTTCATACCATAAGATAACTTTCCCAGTATCGATTCTGGTCGCTCTTACCGTCTTCTCCCTAGTCACCGCCGAAATATTCCACGTATTTCACTGGTCTATCAAAAATCTATGTTTAGGTGCTTATAGAAATTATTCCTCCAACCATTCTGGTCATCCAACTGTTTTCAGGCGCTATCTTCTGTTCACGATAGTCTTGATGACTCTGAGCATCATTATCAACGTGGTTTCGGTAGACTTTCGCTTTCGTCACTACTCGACTCAGAGAATTCTGACATGAGTGCTGCGCGTCTTCGTAGAGATCTTACCGAAGTAAGGACTTGGGGCACCTCATGGCTCTCATACGACTACTTCATTA